TGCAGCAATCCTAGCTGCCTGGTGGCATGGATGGTTTTCCTTACGCACGTCTTCCTTCCAAGGGTGCAAACCCTGATTCTATATCCTTGTTTGCTGCATAATGTTTATATAATAAAAGAAGGAAAATATGGCAAACCTAAGCAGTTCAAATATGGAATTTCATGGTGCTGAGCCCTCTTTTACAGAAGCTAAATGCAGAAACTGTAGGAGGTTAACTCAATATCCTCATATAGGAAAGGGTGCAGGTGCAATTGCTGTAGCTGTATAAAAGATCCTTCTTTTAGATCAGCAACATCCATTCACAACATGGCTTGCACTGGTGCTGTGCATCCATGCTAGTAATTTCTACTAGGTTAGCTATTTCGGTGTGATCTCATTGGTCTGTGTGTCCCTAATATGAAAGAAGCATGTATTCAGCTTGTTTTATGAGACCCTTACAAGCTACTCCACGTTCAAATGCAAATACTTAATAACCGAAGCTTAAGGATCATATGATTCTGTAGACAGTAAATCTCGTGGTTCAGAGTTGTACACGTATTTGGCAGATTATAGGTTTATCACTGACAGCTAATCTTTTAGAGCACTGTGGCTTAATTCCTTTTGTTAACTAATTAAAAAAAGAGAAAGAAGTTAAAGCCGTAATTAGACCTATTAAAACATGTATTACTCACTCAATGGCCTATACAACTAGGATAAATGTATAATTAGGAGGTTTGTCCAAACATGATTAAAGCTAGTCACGTGTCCTAGGCCATCAAACATTTATGTGTGCATGAGATTGAGAGTAAAGTCAGTATGAAAATGTGAATATAAACCATGTCGTACTCTGCAGAGAAAATAAATGAACTGTCTTTTGGCATATTATAAATATTTAACTCAAATCATGAAAGCTTTTTTGAGATGAAAATTCTGAAAGGATTGTGTCAGGCCTGTAGCTTCTAGTGGGATAGTGTCATTGGCAACAGTAATCAGACCAGCTGCATCTCTCCCCATGATCTATCGCTGCTGTTACCTGCAGTTTGCTGGTAGTTTAAGAAATTTAGAAATTAGTAGGTTGCACATTCCTATTAGTTATCGGTGCCTTCCCTGAAGCATGAGGATTTGTATCCCTTCTAAAACTCATTATCTATTTTGGGGGATTTGGTTTCTTTTTTGTTTGGGTTTGTTAGTCTTCAAAATAAAACCATTGCATCTCTACAAACGAGGAGATGTTGGCAGCTGTCATGGAGGTGCAGACATCTCTGACATAACTGCTAACCAAAATTAAAGACATAAATAAACTGTTTGCTGAAATAGCTCTTTGTTTGAAAAAACTTCAGTTGGAAGCACTGACCAAGAGAAGAAGACACTGAAGTATTGAGGTTACTGGGCTTAACCTATGGAAAAAGAATAAGCTCAGGTGCTGAAAGCTGACTCAGATATTTTCAATTTTCCTGCCAGAGTAAGAACTATTTGCACAGATGAACAAATTACAGAAAAGTTCCAAAGTAATGTAGAAAGGAATAAGCTTCTTTAATATATATCAATTTCTGCTTGGGGAACAGTGAAATTCAGTTAAAAGTCTTAGCTGCCTGTACTGCTTTTAAGCACGGATAATGTAGAGAAGAATTTGGCTGGTGTCAGCCCTTTTTGTCTCACTAAACTGCTGAGAACCCTGGGGTAGGACAGAGAGGAAAAAGCACTTGGGGGAAAATCTAGTGCAGAGGAAGTGGTAGAAGTGTCCTGCTACAGCTGTGGAGGAGGACGGTGCTTGCTCTGCATGGGTAATATCTGACTTTCCCATTTGTTTATGTTGGTTGTCATGTTCACATACACTCAGAGAGGGGAAGAGATGTGCCTATGGGTGTACATGTCTATAAATGCACACACAAAAAATAGCAGTTGTCTATATTGTATACATAAAGGTTTTGGGACCAGTTTCTAAGTGGTTCATGGTATGTCTGTGGTCCAAATGAGTAGCAGCATAAGAATTTTGGAGTTGTTTTGTTGTTTGTATTTTTTTTTTTTCCTATATAAAAAATGAAAAGATTAGGCCTCTCTTGTGAAAGGACCACTTTTTGTCTCAGGTTGCTGCCCAGCTGTCCCTCTTCAGAGATGACAAAAACATAAGTTTTGACTGACTGATTAGAGATGGAAGACTGGGGGTTCTAGCTTACTGTAACAAATTTCTGCATAGTTTTATTGTATAGGTTCCAATAAGATGCATACTAACCAAAGATCCAGAAGAGATCTTTC